GGTGTTTCTCCAGCTTTGTTGCCAGCTCTCAAAGCTTCTTTGGAACAAACCCTCAACCCTTAGCACTGGTTTTTGGGTAGGAAGAGGTAAGAACATGGATCGGTGCTGTGTAAGACCCACAATGAGACCTTGACAGCACACTGTCATATTGACCTCCTGGTAGGAGAAAAGCACATTGGGGAAAACTCCTGACGCCTGTCTAGAGAGTCAGGTTGCCTAGATACACTGACATCTGCCTGCTAAGGGGTATTCAGTGCTCCCGTGGACTTGGTGGATGGTCTGTAGTGCTGAGCCACTGGATCAGCCTCACACGCTTACCCCGCAAGTGCCCCTGGGCTGTGTGATCTAAGGTAGAGCAGCCTGAAGTTCAGAACAACCACCTTGCCAAAGCAAATACACAATGATACTTCATGGGGTGGGATATGCTCCATGCTGATGTAGCCTGGTCAGGCCGGCTGATCTTGCTCTGGGGGAGTGTGTGAGTGGCAGCCTGCCTGAGGAACTGATGTTTCCAGCCTCTGCAGGCAGCCAGGCAAAATCAAGTCTGTCGCAGACAATTTTGTGTGTTGTTCTCACTCCACTGCATAAGCTATTAAAGATATGTGGTTTTTTAATCAACAAAGAAACTTCCTCTTCTCCATGTAATGGTTATGGTAGCTTTTTCTTTTTTCTGCTTTATCCCCCATGTCCTTCTAATGTTCCCTTTCAGTACAGGTTCCCTGTACTGCTGAGGAGGAACTCTTAAATTCTGTTCCAGGGAGGAGAGTTGCTTACGGAAATAAACAACTAAACACTTTTTCCTGGAAAAAGGCTGGGCTTTTGAAACAAAACCAATTTATTCAGCAATCCTTTTGTCATAATTCCTGGGCCAGGCTCTGCCTTCAGAGCTGAGGAAAGAGTGGCACATGCCAGAGCAAGGCACATCAAGGTAAACTGCTTCTGAAGCAAGACTTGTTTGTGTTCACAGTGAGTATGTATTGTTCTTGTCCTGCATGTTTTCTTCAAGGGACAGGAATATATTTTTGTGACTAACAGCCTCTTCTTCTGCAGCTTTGACTCATAATGTTTGAGTTTCCTCCCCTGAATTTCCTCAAGGAGCTGTTTCAACCACAGATGCTTTGCATATGTGGGAAAAGTATGCGTTAGGAATGGAGCACCTTAGCTTTTAAAAACTTTATTGGCTTTCTGTTGTCAGTGCAGCTTATGAATTTATTGCTTCTCATATGACAGAGAGGGTATAAAAGTTGGAAAAAGATGAGTTTTCAAAGTCAGTTAATCAGTTACGATAAGAAACATATATATTTTTAGCAGCAAGATCAAAGAACAAAAAACATCCCTCAAACACACTGCTCTCTTCTCCATCAAGCCCTGAGGTTCTGGCCATCCAGCCCAACTTTTCCCAAATGTTCACTCTTGCTTGCTAAGGAAACGAATCTCTTCAGTTTAAGTACTCATGAAATATTCCCAAGCATCCCTTTGCCTTGCTTCCTGCATCACTCTGAAGGTTCTGCTTGTGACCTTCCCTAGGCCCTTCAGTGTCTTGCTAAGGGAATAGGGATGGATATATAATACTTTTTCATTGTTTATGACCACTTTCCTCTTTATGAGACTGAGAGGATGGAAGCTGGAGTCAATAAAGGGATGGGACAGGAATTAACTGATGAATTAACTTTTGTTTGCTTGTGTGGGGAATGATGTTTTGTCAGAATGGATGTGTGGCTGAATGGCAGGTAATGCCCTGGGCGTGGGGTGCAGCTAGTACAATAGCCTGCATAATTCAGACTGCTCTGTAACTGATTCTTCTGGATTTGGTAAGAAGTCACAAAGTAACTAAACAACACCCAGCTACAGTGAGAGGTTCAGCATACAATTCAAAGTGTTCAGTATGCCACAAGGTACTACTGTCTTCTGTATGAGATTATGTCTGTGCTTTTGCATAAGCACTGATTTTACTGTAAGTGAACCTGGGATGCTGCAGAGGCTGCAGTAGAATAATTGGAAATGAGACTGTATGGAATAGCAACTCCAGTTTAACTGCTTTTGATGGAACCAGGCTCAAAGGACCTACATATGGTAATGGATCCCAAGATGTGCAAGTGTCATGCTCTGAGAGCAAGAATGTGGAAAATAAAAGCTGATTTCTTGCTGTCCATCTGGTCAGATGTGAGTTTGTACTTGTTTAAGCAGTTCCTCCAGGAAGTTCAAAGCTGGAGCTCACCTAGCCTGTGCTTCCAAGGAAGATAAGTTCATGAGACTATTGAGAGAAAGGAAATGGGGATTTGGGTATAGCAATAAAGTTGCTAGGTAGATTTTTTTAAAGGAAATGTTATTTAACACCCACTATTCCATGTTGAAACAGAACTTTTTGCAAGGCTATTGAGAGTTTTAAAAAAAACCTGAGAATAAATTCACATGCAGCTTGCATTTCTGCTGTGAAACATGGCTGTGACTTCAGCTATGATCATATGAGTATTCAGCTTCACTTATTGCAAGCTATTTGTCAGCCAACCAAATGCTGTGACAGTATCTTCAGAAATACTTTGGACTATTCACCTGAACAAAATATCTTTTTCTGTTTTGTTGTTTTTTCCCCTTAGGGATGAAGAAAAAGCTAATATTTTGGTAGTAATAGCAAAAAACCTGCAAGCAAGTGTTGTTTTAATCCACAGTGAGGCAGTCATGGTTTACCAAGTGTGTCTTGTTTTAATCCGTTTAACATGTATACAGGGACAAAATGGAAATTTTGTGACTATTCCAGGGATAATTGTTTTGAAACTTTTTCACAAGTGTAAGTTACATCTGTTTAGTAGTATTGAGTGTAGGTTTCTGTCCATTTTATTAGGGAAGTCTGTTGACCACATGTTTTTCCTCTATTAATTGTGGGGAAGTATTGATTGTGTACCTTGTTAGTGAATTACTACCTACAGTAGATTTTCATTTGAAAAAATGGCTAAGTGGGACATAAAGAAATGTTTCACTGAGGTGCTGGGCTCTGCAGAGTTCTGCTTGCTTGGGGTGTATGGCTACAGAATGTGTGGCTTCAAAGTAGGTATTTGAAGATATGTAAGGGAGAAAGCTCTTGGCATAATTGCTGAAGAACAGCACAGGACAAATTCTTAGGAAAAAGATGTAAGGATCTTTAATGGACTTAGACATCCTTAGATGTAAGGACCTTTAAAGCACTTAGAGAGGACAGGCACCATGTTTCTGCATGTCAACTTTGGTCTTTTAGTAGTGAGTCAATATTGGCATCCTACTTGAATGGAAATATTAATGGGAGAAGCTGCATGTGCCTCTCAGAAGAATTGGGAGAGAAGGAAATTTTTTTGCATCTAAAATCTCTGGCTAAGTAATACCAAGGCATCCTGACTTAGCTACTTGCAGCTTAATTTTGTCAGAAAACAGTCACTTGCTGAAAACTGACAAAGCATCCTTTAGCACTACGCCCTGTTCACATTAGGCTTTGTCTTTATTTTTTCATGCCAGCACATTTTAAAACTTGCCAGGGTTTACTGCTGCAAAGAAACCCTTCTGTTATACAGCTCTGGCTCAAATGTGTTAGGGCTGTAGATATCTCTCTTGCTTCACTCTCAGTTGCACTTTAGAGCTGTGGTTGGCCTTTCTCCAGTAATTCAGCTTATTATATTTTAAGAGTGGACATTCATATATGTGCAAGCTGGAAATAATTGTTGAAATGTTTTTTTACTGAAAAAGAAATGGATGCAGCATAAGGTCATTTCCTTGCAGAAGAATTGAAGTGTTCAAGTGGACAGTTTCAAAACTACCGACCTGTACATATTAATATGGATAGTTTTAAGTTGGTTGAGTCCGAACAACGTCAGATTGTTTCCTTGTATTAAAAATATACATGGCATGAGATAGATGTATTTTCATGAGACCATATGTCTGATTGCTTGCTGCTTCCATGTTGTAGTCTGTTTATGTTCCAGCACCTTACTGAGAAGTGTGCAGTTGCCCTCTGTGCCCATGTTGTGTTGCTTTCAAATAGCTCTGTTTCTGGGCAAGAAAAATTTTCCTGGCACCATGCACAATATGGAGCTGAGGTCTTCTATTGCTAGCTTTTTGGAAGAGAGACCTGTTTCTTCTATTTATATCCAAGGCATCTGTTAACATAAAGCGTCTGCTAAAATACTGTGTTTTACAGGAGGACCTGGTTATTCTGATCTAGACCTGGGACCTTGGGATGTTGTGCAAACAACATGAGTTCATCTCTGTATCAAGTGTTTGTAATCAAATATTAGAATGATAGTGCAAGTTAGGAGGAGATCCACTTACCAGTGTGATTATTTTGTTGCTGGAATACAAGAAAAAAAGTCCTCAAAACAATGTGATTTAACAGTGTTTGGCATAAAGAACCATGCCAAAGAATCTGCATTTCTGGCTGGAAAATTAGTTCTGTGATTCAAAGTACTACATGGCTGTGTCTTGTGAAACATATCTGTTCTATTAATACCTCATTCTAATAAAGTAGAAAGCACTGAAAACTATCAGAGGGTCAGATGGGCTGGATAGTTGTCATATGGTTTATTGGTATTTACTCACTTGCCTCTGATATAGTATTCTGCTAACTAGCAGACAGGCAAATGGTTTGGCAATAACTCTTTCTGCAATGCTCTTGACAGCATGCAAGTGGATAGGAGAAGGAAGGAGAAGCTGTAATACTGTCTTGCCTAGGATGAAAATAAGTGGACAGAAATCCCAGAAATCACAGCTGAAAGAATAAAGGAAACTTCAGAAGAGGAAAAGCTATGTGTGCAGAAAGTTCCATTGCACTGGGAGCAGCTTGAGAGAAGGAATTGGAAACAACCTTCCCCAATCTCCAACACACAGAGTTTTATAATATCTTGTCTGGGGATGTCTCATGGAAAGCAGTGAGGAGTCCTCTGCATTAAAAAAATGGCTCTAAGCCTGGAGCTATGACTAGTCCAGGTTAAAAACAATAAGGGTTTTTTAAATTTTTTGAGTTTTATGTTGTCTTCAGGGTTATCACAGACCCATACCTGCTTTGTCTTTTTCTTACACTTGGATTTAATGTGCAACATGAAGAGTCCTCTAAGCTAACATGGTAGAAGCCAGTCAGGTTCTCTTTCATGCCTCTTAATTGTGCTGCTTTTGGATTTTGAGGGGCATCCTTCAAAAATCACAAAAATCAAAGGTGAAATTTGATATACTGTGGGAATGAAGCCTTAGACCCAGGATAGAAATTACTACTTAAATTTGAAAACGAGAAACAACTGCATTTGTCTCAATGTACGTTTCTTAATATTTTATTGAGATTTGGAATATGGAGAGGCTTAATATGAATGCCGTTGGTGCCCAGTGGGACACTCACTCACTTCATTGCTGAAGAGTTTTAATGGAACCCAGCCTTCTATCCTGGAAAGAAAAGCAAAGAAAAATAAGTTTCTGCTGGTGATAGTGGCTACTTTAAGACAGAAAAGAGCATAAAGAAAGGCACTGGATATTTCACTGTGGGTAAAGATATTAAAAGACCCCCAAACAAATCAAACCAAACAACAACAACAACAAAACAACAACAACAACAAAAAACCAAAACAACAACAACCAAAAAAAAAAACCCAAAAAAAAAAAAAAAAAAACCCCAAAAAAAACCCACAACGCCCCCAAAAAAAAAAAACCCAAAAAAACCAAAAAAAAACCAGGCAGAGAAACACAAGTTTTCAGGGGCTTTCCAGAAATTTCAGTCAACAACCAGAAATTCAGATGTATAACAGCACTGGATTCATGTGCTAAAGAAAATATGTTTAAAGAACAAGAGGGAAAATGGTGGTTCAAATTGGTCTCCTCAAATTATATTAAATACTTAACTTCTCATTCCAGCATTTGACTGTGACTGCCAAAGCCTTGTAATACCTGTTCATTAGGATGGTTGCCACTGCTCTTGTTCATTCCCCATTATCTGAGAGGAAAAAAAAAAAATGTTTCATTAGTGAAATCTGATGTAGTGTTTTGGGAAGCAGTACAGAAAGATTGAATGGGGGGGGTGGCCATTGCTGCATTTACTGCCTCAGACACTGCTGCTTGCTTATTTCGTGACTAACAGACTCACAGAAGGGAAGCATGGCTTAAGGAAAGAAATAAGTTTTCATAGACATAACAGGCCCAGAAGATTACCGTGAGTTACTTTAAATTTGAATAAACTCATGCCAGGATATTGCTTTCAGATACTCTGTTCAAGAGGAAAGAGATTTAAAAAGTGTAAGGAATTTGGGTCACAAATTAACTTTTTTTTCCCCCCTCACTGTTCTCCTTCCTCTCTGGTTAATAAACTGCAGCATGATTTGGAGAAGTCATCATGTAGAAGAACTGCAGAAATAGCCCACATTACAATCTGGTGACTCTTTCATGCAAAATATACTGTTTGCTATAGTCTTTCTTCTTTATCTCAGTCACCAGCTGTGTAACCTCAATGAGAGAGACTCTTACTGAACATAACTCTACAGGTGATGTACTAATTTCCACTGCTGTTATTCTCTGATTTTTCCCCCTATGAGCATGTATTAGACAGAGCAAACTGTTCTCAGCCTTCTGATTGAAAGTCCCCTAGCTGATGGGTGCCTGATCCAGAAGTGAGGTTTCCAGGCAGGGTTGCAATTGGGTCAGCAGTTCTGTTTTCAAGCAGAATACTGGGTGAGGATGCAGAAGGGGGTTTTCCTTCACTGCTTTCCCACATGGCAATGATTAATGATAACTCAGTTAATAACAGTATAATGATAATCTCTTCAGTGGGTATGTAGATTGTGTTCAGTATTTCTCTACCTCTAATGTCTCTTATTAATTGGAAAAAAGCAACCCAACAAACAACACCCTAACCAACAGGCAAACACCTAAGAAATATTCTTATATTCTTTTCTAATTTCTGACATACTTGAAGGAAGATTGATGATGTTCTGTCTATGCATAGTTTCAGGCTTCTCCATTTACATCTGCAAAAACTGCCTAATTCAAGGTGGTCAGTACTATCCCCCCTTGCTACTTTTCAGGGCTGACTTGTAAGAACAGTACTGTAGCAATATGTGTGTCTAGGTATCAGGTCTGGCTGGGATTTCAGGTAAGAGAAGGAGAGCAACTATCTCTTTGAAGGCAAGAAAATGCAAGCGATTTAAAAGGGGACCAGAACAATAAAAGGAGAATGTATCTTTTACAAGGCAGATTTGGTCTGATACCATTTCATACCAAGCCTGATCTGTGGGTCATTCAATAGTATCAGGAAAGTCATGTGGTTACTTATGTGAGAATAAAACTTTAAAAAAGTAGTAGGGTTTGGACTTCTTTTTCTGCATAATTTTTTTACAGTTCTTGCCGGCTTACACTGGCTATAGAATTAAGTCAATTGCTTTGTGGTATCCTGGTGCAATTCACTTTACCGTGTGTGTTCATATGGTAACCATGATCTCTGTTACTCATGAGGACTGAATAGCAGAACCACAGAGCCAAATACTTTTTTTTTTAATCTTAAGATTTAACAGGCTTATTTCCTGTGCAATAAGCAAATTTTTTGTTCCTGACCTGATATTAAAACAAAATTAGATTTTTTTCCCTATTGAGGTTTACAAAGCTGAGCTATTGAAAGCTGCAAGAGTGATTTGGATGGGACATGAGCTAAATGTTAACTCATATTAAAACAATCCAATAAAAAAGACACTTCAAAACTACTTATTGAAGATTTTTTTCCCTTATATTTCTTCAGAAGCACATGGATGTGGTGTAAGGCAGTAATTCTTGTGTAGGAGTTCTTTAATTGTAAATGCAACTGCTTATTTTCCATTCTAAATGGACATCACTGTCTGTGTAATAATAATTCAGAAGATAATCCAGTTAGATTTCATAGAATCATAGCATGATTTGGGTTGGAAGGGACCTTAAAGATCATTCATTCCAACCCTCCTTCATGGGCAGGGACACCTTCCACTAGACCAGGTTACTCAAAACCTGTCTAATGTGGCTGTGAACACTTCCAGGGATGGAGCATCCCCATCCTCTCTGAGCAGTATGTTCCAGTGTCTCATTAAACTCATTGTGAAGAATCTCTTCCTGGTATCTAATCTAACTCTGCCCTGTGTCAATTTGAAGCTGTTCCCCCTTGCCCTGTCACCACATGCCCTTGTAAGAAGTTCTCCTCAAGCTTTTCTGTAGAACACTTTTAGGTAGTGGGAGACTGCTGTGAGGTTCTGTGAGGCAGATGCATTGAAAATATAATACAGAAGGAAAACCAAGCTGGAATTGTAACACAGTAGAGCAGACCCTGCACTCTCCTAAATGCCCTTAATGTAAAATACAGCAGAGAACTTGGAGGTTTCAAATTCACTGTAAGACAGAGAAGCCAAAATCAGACGTCTTATGTAACCACAGTGTATGCAATTTTTTTAACAGACTTTCTTAAAATGTTTTGTTAAGTAAATGATTCAGTGTATATCTGTGAAACATAAACAGAAAATGACAAATTTCTGAGGACCATTTTATGCTCAGTGGCAAGTTTAGAGCTGGATGACAAGACATGGGTTGAAAAATTTTGCTAGTCTTTTATCTAACACTGTTTCTAGCACTGTTGACCAGGGCATTTTATAAAAATGAGTGACATCAACTTTTACTAAGATGGAAGCTGGGCATTAAAGATATTAAAGTAAAGATACGTGAAGGTTGTATGCCAAGACTGATGGATCAAGGAGTGAAACTTGCATCACAATTTCTTTCCAAAGATGGGCAATTTGACAGTACAATTCTGACTCTTTTTTTAATTGAGGTGTGTGGAGGCTAAATTGTTGTAACAGATGATGTAACTCTGTTTTCTTGCCTATGTGATAAAGGAGATAATGAAATATAGAAGTTTTGTATCCAGTTATTCCTAATAAGGATAACTTCAAAAGAAATTACTGTTTGGGATGAGCAAATACTCATTTGCTTAGGATATCTGGCACCATTTACATATTTTTGTTATGGCAGAGGGATTTTTTCATGGAAGGCTGGGTCTGTGGAGGACTGGGTCTATCAGAATTAGCTGTCACACTAAATGTGATGGATAGCTCTTATTCTCTCAAAAAAGTGGTAAATAATTCAGGGAAGGACTGAATTTTCAATTTTAATATTGGGATTTTGTTTTTCTTCAGGAATATATTTAATCTAAATCAATTAGGAAAAATAAACTTCTCAAAATTAATAAAAGAAACATTATATAATGTGTGACATTATATAATGTATAACATTATATTAATCTTCAAATTAATTTCTTTACATTTATATTTAGCAATAAATCCCAAAACCCCCTATCTCTAGCTTAGAGATTTGAATCACTAATTTATCAAAAAGCAAAGGGCCCATGTGGTGAATGTTGTGACACTTACACCCTCTTGCGAATGAAAGCCAGACTTTTCAAAGCTTCAGCTGTGCTGAAGGCCTGCAAAATATTTTTCTTTGGCATCTAGCACTCCTGGAGCCCCTTGCAGTAGAACTGCTCCAATTAATGTCCATCCTGGTGGATTTGAACCGCCTCCACCTGAAGCAGGGCAAAATGGGGGACGTATTTCCTGTCTTTGTGGAGAAGATTGTTCTGATTCATATAAGTGCTGCCCCCTCCACGTGCAAGAGGCCCATTTCAGGAAGTAATGCAAACTCTCTGGCTGGCTTAAGTAAGATTACTTAAGAGTAATCTTACTGGGCTTGCAGAGTTACTTGGAGAACTGAGAGATATAGTCTGTTGAATGGAATAGTGCCCAGTGTGGCCAGTAAAAGTAAGAACGCTGTTAAAGTTGTAACCAGAGAAAAAACAACAGATAACTTCAAACAGGCCGACTGGTTTTTGAAACAGAGACAAGCTTCTTTTGATACTGAGAATCCTGCCAGTTACCAGCCCTTGATACATGTATATATAAAAAATTCCATTTTAGCTTGAACTGCAAAAACAAGACATGTGAGCTCACTGCCTGGTTATCCATCCCCATTCATTTCCCTCTAACAGCTTTTTAGCCCCACTGCTCAATTTCCACCAACTCTGAAAGAAGCTTTCAATGATCATTAAACTCTCTGATTTGGGGAACACCAGGAACTGAGCTAGGAAGGAGCAGCTGCTGGTGTTGCTTTGCCAGGAGAGGAGGGATAGCCCAAGACCCTGTGCAGCAGTAGCCCAGTGGGCTTGGTGGTCACCTAGATAGTGACTGAACAGAGTCACCATCCAGTGACTGCCAGTGGGACCAGTGGGCTGCCTCTCACCCCATAGGTGCTGGGTGGGTGCTGGAGGAAGCTGAGTTGTTGCTGGGAAAGGTGGTAGATAAGTAGATCTTCAGTGTGCCAGCAGGAAACCAGGCTTTGCTAAGTGCTGCTTGCAGAACAACTTCTAGGGCGACCAGGTATGGAGAGGGATTGCTCAGTGCTTTGCTGGACCTGCTTTGGACCACTTCTGGCAAAGCAGGGCTGAACTTATTTCACTGTTCAAGTAATTCTTATACTCTGAAATAACAGCAAAAACAATCCTGCTAGCACTGAAGCCAACAGCAAAACTCTGGCCTTCCTACTGTGTTTGGTTTCATTGCAAGGCTGCTGTCTTATTCTTTTAGGACCATGGGCCTTTGAAATCATTATAGAGATCAACCTTCCTGTGACAGGGATAACTGGATTTGTCTTTAAGGGGGTCCTTTTTCTGATTAAGTGGTCTGAGAAAGGAAGGTTTTGGGGGATGATGCAGTGGCTAAGGGAAGCTATTTGTGGTAGAAATCACGGGATCTTGTTTGGTTTGGCTCCTTCCTATTCCTTACATATATAACTACCTGCTTAAAAGTGTCAACTTCTGTCCTGTAAAAGTTACAGGCTATGGGGTTTCTCTTCAAAGACCTGCAACTTCACTGTATCTGTCAGCTTTTGATTGTGGCTATTTCCTATCTGATGTTGCACCAGAAAGTCTCTGAA